AGGACTCAACTACTAACAAAGGCCTATTAGGTAAAGTTAAAAAACAAGACAGTTCCTTAAAGACCATCCCAATATAATTGTCAGTCGATCAGACAAAGGGAACTCCACTGTTCTTATGGATAAAAGTGAATATCACCAAAAAGTAGTTGAGATGCTGAGTGACACTAATGTATATCAATCCACCAACAGGGACCCTACAAACAAATTTCAGACCATCGCAAACAGAATGATTACTGAGCTGAAAACACAGAATCTGATCAGCATTAGAGAGGAAAAGGAATTGAAACGTCACAACTCAGTTTCCCCTAAACTTTACTGTTTGAGAAAGACACATAAGCCTGGTTTACATCTTAGGCCTGTAGTTAGTTGTGTCAACTCACCGAAATACAACATAGCTAAGTATCTCCATAAAATACTCAATCCTTTAACAACAACATTCCACTTTAACATAAAAGACTCTTTCCATTTCGCAGAGGTAATAAAGGAACATGTAATAGGCTTTAACAATTCGGAGCTGAAACTAGCTTTTTACAATCCAAAAACCTCTAGCTCTTTTTTTCACACCACTCAAAGATAGGATACCAGAAGGAAAAAGAAGCTCAGTAGTTTACAAAATACCCTGTGAATGCGGCAAATGCTATATTGGCGAGACAATGCAATATCTTGACAAAAGAGTTCAACAACACAGGTATGATTGTCGTAATGTTAGAATGTATAATGAAGACAAGACTGCACTGTCAAAACATCATTTTGAAACTGGCCACCGTTTCAAATTTGATGAAGTTATAATGGTAGACTCTGAACCTCAGATTTATAAGCGAAAGGTGAGCGAGATGATTCACATAAATTTAAATAATACAGTAAATATCAAAATTGACAGAACACAACAGACAGACTAGTGGAGTTTACAACAACATACTACAAACCTATAAAAATGTTAACAACATTGAATAATAAGTTCCTTTTTAACATACTGTGATATCTTTGTGATTATAATTAATTTTGTTGATTGTTTGTAACTAGTTTTATGCCTTGTCTGTGACAATAGTTTATTTTATTTTATTTTATTTTATTCTTTATGTTTGCCTACATAAACTTAGTTTATAACTTATTGTAGGGAACTTTAATCATAATTAGTAGCTTCCTTTTAATATTAAATTTGTCTGTATGCTTTCCTCGTTGGTAGGTACTGGTTACATTGGTTTGTTATTTAAGTTTAGTGTTCACATATTTTAAAGGTTTTAAATTTTATATTTTATTATTTTAAGTTCAGTTTGAATGCTATGCAATACATTTTAATGACAAAAGTTTCTTTCTGAAACGAATTAACAATTATTTCTTTCTTAAATTTGAAATAATTTGTAAATTTTCCCTTTTAAATGGTTTCTGTTCAGGAGTCTAATCAATTATCACCCATCACTAAGAGAAATTTCGATGGTAAAAATGTTTAATCAGCCCATCACTACTACTAATATAACCTCACAAAATCAGATATGAAAATCAGTTACCTTCCAAATTCAAATTCAAAATAACGAATTTTAGTAAAAATTGATTGCATCCCTAAAATAATATGATGAGAAGTGCCTTTGTCCATCCTGAACGGACTCCAGAAGCAATAGTTTAAGTAAGTACTGAAAGAAACAATTTATTTTATTTTATTTATTTATTTATTTTGGCTTAAAAGTTGTAATTAACTCACAACAGTATATTTATTGTTGTACTAAGTGCTTATATTTTCCTTTTCCAGGGCTTGAAAAAGAAAAAATATATGCCGAAACGTTGCCAAAAGCTTGATAGTTTCTTTTTTGGTCCTGTCCTCCAACCCACGAAATTAAAACAAATCAATTAGTTTTCTTGAGAGTTTATATGATGGAGCAGACATAAAGAAAACTACAGGCCTAGGGTAACCGTTTTTATGTATAGTTTTTCCAAAGTCAATTGAAACAAGGTGAACGATGGCTGACTAATGGCACTGCATTTCTTATAGAAATTTTCAGTCACCAGTTGGTGCTTTGTTCCAATTGAGTTTGGAAATACTATAGTTTGATTAGAGAGTATAATTTTGAGGCCTGAGGGTTCATAATTTAAAGCTTAAAAAAATCATTGGAGTTGAAAAGACTTAAGAATTTTGAGTAATTGATTCAATTTGTTTTTGAAAATTATTAGTAGGATCTTTGCTAAGGATTTTATAATAGGGTATTGGACAAGGTATAATTTCAATGAAATCGATGATCTATTGTTCATCTATGGAGTAAATGAAAAATATTCCTATTGAAAGAAATTTCAGAAAAAATTGCTAACTTTGTTTAAAACGATTGTAAAAGTAGAGTTTTGGGATGCACTATTTAAACGAAAATATTTCGCGCCTTGATTCTACGTCATAGCTGCTGTATTTGAGTATGAAATGAATCAAACCTTCGTCCTATATTCGACACACACTTACTCATTAGTGCAAAAAAGAGAGATATATCAGTGTCTGTGTGTCATTACATCCAGGCCACCCTCAACTTAACCCCACTTTTTGAGAGATTTCCATTTGTCAATCAATGCGCACTGAGCTTATCTGCATCTTTTTCTAGCAGCATGTAAAATATAAGGACGCACTGACCGACCGCGCTCTCGCCCACTTTTATTAATGTCGGAATGCCTTGGCGCCATAAGACATAACAGCTATGACGTAATTTCCGGGCGGTAAATTATAGTGTTTAAAATAAGTACAAATTTGTTTATTTTTTTTTAGGTATATTTTTGTTTTCTAAAATCAAAGAATCATTAACTACTATTTATTTTGTTATGGAGATTATAAAAAAAAAATATTTCAAAAAATTGTCCACTACCCTATTACTTGTATTGAGGAAGGAAATGGTTTTTTCTATGTAAATTTGCTGGTTGATAGCCACGATTGTATCACCCTTGTCCGCTTTGGTAAACGTTACATTATCTGACTAAGTTTTAATATTCTTAATTACTTGCATTTCTTGTTTTGGATTGTTATTAATTAAAAACTCTTTTTTTTAATAAATTAGTAGCCTCGAATTTGCTACTTAAATTAGATAGAATATATTTAAGGGCTAGTTTTGTTTCTACACCTAAAATTTCTATGGATTTCGTTGACATATTTTCGGCTACGTTATATTTGAAACCTTTTTCTAATACTTGGGTTTCATCTTTAGAAAATGTAACATTACTCAGGTTGAAAAATCTTTCGAAAAATACATGATCAGAATACTGCTTCTGGATGGTGTGATTTATTTTTACGGGTTTTGATTCTATGAGAGAAGTCAGTTTTTGTTTAAGGAATTTGTTATGGATAATTGAATTGATTTTATCTCTAGTGTATTGCCTTCAAAACCTGAATCCAGGTACGCCAGAATAACGGACATGCACGAACAAACGTCCATTCCGCTTATATCTGACTACCTGGATGAAATCAGCGAAAAGTTTTACAGACATCAAATTCAAGGCTCCCCTCTAACCCGCAGAATCACTGCACAAAGATATGATCCAGACAACCCCATAGTGCACGGTCCGCCCTACAAGAATCTACCTATCTATTTTGAACCCCCATGAACACTTCCCTATCCTGTACCTGCTAACCACAACCCCAAGTAATAACCCAAACCAATGCACAGCTAAAATCCAATCTTCAAGACAGAATTAGACAAGTAATTTGGCGCTGGCGCCATATGCCTTAGCCTAAAGCAGGAGGCTCTGGCAATCCCAATCAAAGGTCTATTTCTATCATCTATTCTTCGGAAAATTCCAACTGGTCAGCGATCTAGTGTGTTAACATCTCCTTTATCGCTGGCTATGAGGAAATGCAATTGTCTAATCAATCATCGGACAACCCCAATCTGACCACTACACTTAGGCGAAAACTGCCCAATTTAGCTGCAAATGCATGTCCCAATCCCGGTAGATTCTTGCACCCAATCCTCCCAACCCTCATTCTCTGACATCCCTTACAATCTTCCTTCACCTGCACCCAAACCATTACCTGGGACTCATCAGGTCTCAGGATTGGTCGGGGTGCAGGGCTTTCGACCCCATTTAATCCAAACCCGCGCTCACGCGCACAAATCCCTAGCTCACACTTTGCTGTTGAGGTAGCGTCCATGACGGACCACATCGCCCTACGGGGTACGGCTTTTTTGTTTTTCTTTATATTATTAAATTAATTGGAAGTGGGGTTTTTTGGAACTTGGAACGCTCGACATCACACATCCTGCATCAACCCCTTATTTTTTGAGCGGGCCAGTATAGTGGCCCAATGCGCGCCATCCGTGGTACTTACCAACGACTGAAAGGTCACATAATAACGTGAAAGGGCAACCAGGGAACGTTGAGAACAGATCCAATGGGAAAAGGGCGATGGCTTGTCGGCCAGAACATCGGCCAAGCTGGAAAAAGCGCCACATAGCTCGCCAGGCGCGCATGTACGCGCAGTGTGCTGCGCACACTGAGTGTTTTTAGTTTTAAGCCTTGTCCTTAGTTTTAGTCCTTGTTTATATATGTATTGTTTGAGGGGAGCCTCACTCCCCCACCCCCATATGTATGTGAAACTGATAAATTTTGAAAATAAAGAGATTTGAGTTTTGATTTGAGTTTGAATTATTTAATATTGAGTTTCTGAAACATATGAATACGAGTTGTTGCTCGGGTTCGATTCTCGTTGGAAACAATATTTTTTTTTAGCTCTTTTCTTCTAAGATACCATTATACAATAATTTTATCCGCACTTTATTACTTTTTAAAAATGAATAATAATAATTCTAATTCTTCTAGAAGAAGTTTCACTTATATCGTGCGTCGCTTCACGCATGCGCACAAACCTTTTTTTATTTATAATACTTATGTGAGTTTCAAATGTACCAATAGATACTATTAGATACTGCGTATCCTTAGAAGACTATACTGTAAATCTTTCAATGCATTTTCTCTTTCTCTATTTCCCTATTCACTTCGAACAATTTTTGACTATTCAAATGATTTCTTTCTAGTAAACGTAACTTCCCTGGCGCAATGGATCGACAAAATAAAAGGTTTTCCGTTCAGTTTGTGGTACGGCAATAAGTACACGTACATAACCAGAGACGCCAAGGAAATAAAAATCATTGTGAATCATCCGAAGTGCATTAACAAGTCACTAATGTACGATAAGTTTAAGTTTTTTTTTGAACATTCTATTTTTTCAGTGCCTGGTAACATTATCGAACATCTTTTAACACACATTTCAACAATAGCTTTATTTCAGATGAAACATGGAAAAAACAGCGCAAACATTTTGTAACGGGCTTCAAATCAAGTATTTTGAAAAACAACATTTACGTTTACTATAATCACAGTAACCAAATGATTGAAGATCTGAAATCTGTTAAAATTCCTAAAGATATATTTTGGTATTTTGCTAGGTACGCTATTCAAAGCTTTTTTTGTAAGTACCTGATATAAGTAGATATTCATTAACTTTTACGTGAATTCATTAAAATTTATCCTCCTCTAAAAAAGCACTTTTCTGCATAATAATTATTATGAGATTTTAGTGGGCAATACCGGCATAAGCGACTACCTACCTTCATTTGAAATAGACACAGTGGGCGATAACATATTTCGGTAAGAATTTCATCATTTTGTTCAACTTCAACAATTTTCGATTTATTAAAATTTATTAGGATCCACGATCTTCTTAACTCGTTAATCGCATTACCGTTTATCAGTCCCAAATTGTGGTTGGCGATTTTTCCTGCCGGCAAAAAAGTCACAAAATTGCTACAAAAATCTGAAGATATCATCAAAAATGGGTTAGAACACAAGAGAAAGATGCTTAAAGAAAAACAGGGTAAGCTATTTGAATTTTATTATGAAAATACTTGATGAGATAATGTAAGATGAAAGATTGATTTCAAGCAAATATGGCATGTAATAATTGGAGATTGGAAGGATTTACTTCAGATTTTCAATAATCCTAAAATGAAATGTTTTTATTTTAGAATATTTTGAAAATACCAAGGATTTTTTCGAACTATGCTTGACTTACGGCGCAGACGATTTGGATGATAGAAAGAGGATCCAGCAAGTGGATCTTTTTGCTTCAGCTGTAAGTTTTTTTTTTATCACCAGCTATGAAATACTTAATAGATATAGGTTTACTAGTTATATAAAAAGTACTGATTTCAACTTTCACACTTATGATACAGCAAATATAAAATTTCAGGCCAGCGATACCACAGGAAATGCGCTCGCCTTTACTTTTATATTATTAGGAATGCATCAAGAAATACAGGTCAGTATGTTATCTTACTCCAATTAAGTTATTTTTATATTTAAAGTATTTTTAGGCAAAACTATATGAGGAAGTAATGGAAGTTGTGGGCGATAAAGACATAACGCATCAAGATTTGCCAAATTTAAAATACACCGAAGCCGTCATTTGCGAAACTATGAGATTATTTCCATCAGTACCTTTAATAGGAAGACTTTGCAATGAAGATATTAATTTAGGTAAGTTTGTTCCATTTTAAACAACTTTTATGCAGTATACCTACTATACTGTATAATGAATAACAACCCTTACTTGAGTTTTTTTTTTATAAAGTAACAACGGCAAAAGTAATATATTGAATACTTTGTCGAGACTCAGAAGCTCTTATTCCTGGAAATTTCCAATAGATTTGTTGCTTCTCTTTCAAACCAAATCGAAAGTATTGGATAATGTGGTTTAAAATTTAGTGGAATTGTAATTTTTGAGTTGTAATGAATTGTTACCTTTTTAAGTCCTACATTGAATCAAAAACATTGAGTTTACAATAATAACTATTGAGTTTATTTCAGAAATAAATTGATTCGTTGTTGATCAAACTCGAATTTGTAATGAAATTTGCATTTGCAGCAGATTTCAGTAAAGCTTATATTTCCTCAAGACATTTTCTTAAATTTTTTGTATCATGTCGCTTTACATAAATCTATTGTTTCCAGGTACAAAAATACTTCCAAAAGGTTCCTCATGCATGTTCAGCATCTTACATTTGCACAGAGATCCGCAATACTGGCCAGATCCATTGAAGTTCGATCCATCTAGATTTTTGCCAGAAAACCAATCGAAAATTAATCCGTCTTCTTTTATGGCCTTTTCAGCTGGACCTAGAGATTGTTTAGGTAATTCTGTTAGATTGTTCAGAGAAACTTGTCAACGTCGCCATTTTTTTATAGGTAAAACCCAGGCATTGGCAATGATGAAAGTAACCGTGGCCAACGTTGTCAGATATTTCAAAATAACGTCAAAACATAAGTGTTTTGAAGAATTCACTTTGGAATCTTGCCTGACCATGAAAACGAAAGAAAGTCCTAATTGCCGTTTTTCTGCCAGGAAAAAATTATAAAATATTTATTATTATTACACATGTTATAAATAAATAAATATTTCAAATGCTTTCATTTTTCATTAATACCTATTCTTCCACACTAAATTAAATAAAAACAAAATTTGATGAGTATTAAAAAAATATCATTGCCATTAGTAACTGGTATAGTGAAATTATGTATATGCACGTGATCAATGACGTCGAAATTATTGCCAATTGCAGTTTGTAAAAAATTAAAATTCGTTTCAAGCTGAGAGCTTATTCTCCTTTTTATTTAACTTTAATTAAAAAAAGATAGAACACTGTTGGCATTTAACCGAATCGGCCGATAAAATGACATTTAGGTTGGCACTCATGGGTTATGTTGCCAAATATTGCTGCAAATCTGCGGTTACTGATTTTAATCATTTGAAATTATTTCTATTTGTGTATCTATAAAATGCCAAAGTCATTGAACAGTCAGTCAGAAACTCGTTGCGTCTCTAATTAGTTTCTTTGAACAGGAACGGGATAATGGGGGTCCCTTTTGGCCTTTAAATAGTGTTAGAGAGGTGAAGTATGATACTATCAAATATAAATCTTCTGGGTCTTTAATTGGGAATATTTTTCCAGCGTATTGCAGCTGCACTGAATATTGGTATAACCACTGTGAGTAAAATCCAATGTAAAATCTCTCAAAAAGTTAGGGGTAATTTAGAGGTAAATTCACCAAAGAAAAAATGACCACATAAGAAGCGGGTTACGAATCAAGATCACCTTGATGTTAGCTCTATTCGCAATCAAATTTACGACGAAAAGTGAGTAGTTTTTTTAGATTGTGTTCATAATACACTATCTATTACATATAAAAATCGATGTTTGTTTGCTTTAGTGATAACAAATTTTACTAGACATGGTATGTCAAAGTAAAACGAAAGTTAATAGCGGCAACATTGCGATGTGCTTATGTCATTAATTTTGATCACGTGTGCATACACTGTTTAATTAATTTCACTATACTAATAATAATACTTTTGACAAGTTAATGATAATTTCTTTCTGATGGGGAAGACTTTTCCAGATTTTTGGTTCGTTGCTCACAGTACGAGTCGATTCAGTTGTGGAACCCCAGGTTCAGTAACTTTTTATGATGTTAAGTTGGCGAGCGGTGACTTAAGTTTCTGAGTGGAGACACAATTTGATGTGAGGGTCCTATTTGCGGGTGTGAGAGTAAAACACAGAAATATGATGGTCAATTAAAATAATGTTTATATATAAAAAAAAAAATAACTTGTTAAACATGGGCTTCGGTGATAAATCTTACAATAAATTCTTCTCTAAATACCTAACCGTTTATTTTGTCAAAATTTCTCTACAAATTATTTAAGCAAAGTTTTTCCCCAAAATATATCTACAAAATGATTAAATTTCCCTAGTATGCAACAAAATTCTGAAGTTTAATTCACAGTTTGACTAGACCTTGCACTCTTGCCAAATTTACAACCCTATACAATTTCTAGACAATACAATCCTAGCCTGACATAAAACTAATAAGATTACTTACAGATTGATTTGAGTTATATCTACTGCCGGCACAAACTTAATTACCTGGGTTTCTATAGGTCGATGGAATTTACTTTACTCATGAACATTTAATAAAACTGGAATATTTTCGCGCTGCCTCGTTATAGTCTTATTTCGCGGCGACTTTCTTCTCTCGTTCACTACCGTAGTTCGACGTAATTTCTGGCTTGGTTCCTGACGTTAATTTGTCTTCTATGACACTGGATTCTCGACTCTTGAATTAAACTCTTTCTTGTTTAAAGCTTGACCGTACACTGGACTTTTTGTATATCGTCTACTTGACTCTCCGAACTGACACTGCTTCTTCTCAGTACAATCGCTTTCTACCGAACAGTCCTTCTTCTCCTGCCAAAGTCGCCTTTTATATCGTTGGTCTCCCATTGTCTTAAAGCTCTTTGTTTTCTCTGGCCTCGATTTTAACGTGGTTGAATCATCCGATCAATTAGTGTATTTGGTCCCCTGTCAATTAATTATCAAGGGCGTTGCTAAGTGGTTTTGTTAAGTGCGGTATCATCATAATATAGGCTCGTGCGTATGATTTATGGAGACTTTAGGAATCTCGGATACGTTGGAATGGTAATTGCTGAAAGCACTTAAAAAAAGGTCCATGAACTTTTTGCTTTTAGTGGCATTCCAATGTATTAGTCAATTGCTTTGGTCGGTCAACTAGGGAGGAAAGGTATTGACTTTCAATAATTTGTAGATTTCGATGTTCAGTTCACTTTTCTTGAAGTTTGCGGTTCAGTTATTTGAGTGATGGTCTTTCTTGGGTTGGTTGTTATTTCTTGATTAAAATTTCTGTAATCTCTACACAGTCCTATACAGGATGATTGAAAAGTAAGCGACATGCTTTCGGGGACGTATTCCTTGCATAAAAATAAGACAAAAAGTTCCTATCAACATGGATCTGGAAATGCTTCCTAAGGGAGCTACGCCCCTTCTCGAATAGGACACCTGAAAGACTTATTTTTCTCTATACCTATTTAACTTTGAAACCTTTCACAAATGGATTTTGAAAGTTGGTCACAATTGGTATATTTCATAAAAATTTGATGGCAATTAAGATACTAAATTGGAAATTCAAAAATTTTAATTGTAAATTCAGTTCTCGTAAATGATAAGCTGTATCGAATTGGGCCAAGAGTGCCTTTTCTGTGTAAAAAAACTCTAAAATTTCCGAATTATCAATCGGAATCGCAAAAACCTGACGGGTAAAAAAAATAGGGATGTTTTAACCCTCACCCTCCCCAGTATGTGATGCCACTGATTAAGATTTTTGAATTTCTAATTTATTATCTTAATTGCCATCAAATGTTTATAAAATACACCAATTTTCAAAATCCATTTGTGAAGGGTTTCAAAGTTATAGAGAAAAATACGTTTTTCAGGTGTCCTATTCGAAAAGGCGTAGCTCCTGTCCTGTCTTATTTTTATACAAGGAATACGTCCCCGGAAGGATGCCGCTTACTTTTGAATCACCCTGTATTTATAATCACTCGAATTTAAAGTGTATGCAAAATTTCAGCAAAATCCGTTGCGAAGAAATGGTTCAAAAATCTGCACCTGTCACCATTTGACAGTTGAAACGAGTTTTCCGGAAAAAGCATGACTGAAAATACATACATACATACATCCATACAATTTTTACTCGTATAAGATATAGTATGATATTGTCACGCTTAGATTGTTTGTGGTCAGCGGTGTCATCACTTTATCTACATTTGGCTGCGTCGGCTAAGGGTTTATCCTGAAAAAGGTTTATGGGGGAAAGGAAAGATTTCACCACTAGTAGTTAATACATCTATTGTTACACCTCAATTTATATAGGAGATGATTAAATAAGATTTACCAAAAATAGATCGCGGTGAATGTTCTTCCCTGGTAGGCCATCATTTACCATTTCCTTGGAATGCCTATTTTTAGGGATAGCCCTACGCTGTCAATAGTACCCAAATACCCCTTTGAAAATGTACTCTCAAGGAGCTTAGTTACCATAGGTCTAGGTTTGGGGCGCTGAGTGGGGCTTCTACAGCATGACATTCAACTCAGGATCTCAGTCGTACTGTAGCAAGTGTCACACCCAACTTGGAAAGAAAGTCTTTATGCCTGTACCCTCGAGGAGCTGTGGAGACTAACCTCTGTCTGACTGCCTTGCGGTGCGCGTAATTTATACAAGAACTAGCTGTTGCCCGCGGCTTCGCACGCCCTATACACACATTTGCACCGCTACAACTTACGGGATATTTAATCCAAGTGAAGCTTTGAATGTGACTCTTGTAGAAACAAAAGTCACATTCAAAGCTCCACGTAGATTCAATGTCCCTTAAGCGGTAGTTAAGTGATAGCCGTGCAAATGGCCATCTCAATGTCATGTCTCAAACTTGAAGTTAGCTTAGCCTGGGACCGGTGGAATTTGTTCACAATCGGTTCCGAATCGTTTCTGGTGAAAGCATGAAAATATAACGACAAAAACACATTTTTTTTTGCACTGATTCTGCAAATGGAAATCGCTTTAGTTCTTTTCACGTGGCTCCGGTTTATCTAACCGGGTTACAAAACGGTTAGAGAAATGACATACCGTTTTCTAACCCGGTTACAATGGTGACGTGATGGATACCTACCACTCGAATTTGAGCGGTATGTTGCGGTTTGTTAAACCGGAGCCACGTGAAAAGGGTTTATGAATTTGATTCTGCTTGTCATATTTCTGAATTTGACAGCTGACACGTCGTCTATTTCTGTTTACACCAATGAACTATAACCAAAAATTGGAATGCTAACACATAAGGACGAACTTGAAGCCTAGTGCGGCTGCTGCGGAGGGGATACCTGTTTTTGTCGCACTCATTATGTTAAATGGCGAAAATTGCTTCCAACACGTATTCCAGTTGATGAAACCTGTGAAGGGAAATATGACAAAACTTTCGAAAACGTCATATGTCAGCGAGCAACAGAAAAAAACAACATTCCCCCTTGTGGCATCTGTCTTTCATGGCTTCATTTTTTTGGCAGATATGGCAATGTGTGCGCATTCCAGTTTTTAGCTATAGTTCATTGGTTTACACTTTTTTCCCCACACTCCCGCACCACACCGTTTCTTATTATTGGTTATTTAAGGCGATTGCTTAAGGCCATGTTGATATTATTTCTTAGTGAGCATCTCCAACCTATTACCTACCTGTTTGCAAAATTTTATCTCGATTGGTTAAGTAGTTTTCGAGATTTCGTGTTTAATCAGTCAGTCAGTCAGTCAGTGAGTGAGTGAATTTCACGTTTATATATAAGTATAGATTATTGCTACCGGCAGCAGAATCAGTTAATTTTCTGTAGTACAAGCGCCAAATTCATTTTATTTTTATAGTTTGTGAGCTTGTATACATTTATGAGTTGACAATATAGCCTTTTCCCAAATAATCACTGAACTCCAAACTATTTACGATATTTTGGAAAAAAATTAGATTGCTATAAGATTTATTTCTTATAAACTCGATACCTTTCATAATTCTATTATTAACCCTAATGAATTGATAAATAAGATGAAATCAATCTTTATACACTTGAAAAACGACAAATTGCCATTTAAGCCAAAATTCGAAAACTTATTATTATTTGAAAAAATAATGGAGAGTAAACGCTATAACCTACGCGTCAATCGAACTAGAACACCCCAATTTTTGGTCACTTTTTGAAAGGCTATAACTCAAAATCTAGTAGGCCGATTTTGTTCAAATTTTCAGGAGTAAAAGGATACTCTAATTGCTATTTAATTTCCAGTTCTTAACAGATTTCCGGCCACCTGCTAAAAGATACAGGGTGAAACATAGGTTGGCGATTTTTTTGCGAAAGTTTGGGTTCACCCCATTCTGCTGGAGGGAGGGTTAAGTAGATAGGCGGTTGTTACACACGGACGTGGATGTTTGAAAACATGTACGCACATACATGATACATGGACGCGCAAACAAAAACATCAATGTGTACCTATGCAAAATACCGTCGCGTTTTTGAATGTGCAAGCGGTAGAAATTTTGTATGCACACTCGGAACACTGCAGCAAAAGTAGCAAGACTGCAGTTTTGTGCGAGCGTCTATTTTTTATTATCGAAATACCGATTGTTGAGAAGGATAATTATAATTATTATCATTTGTATCCTCTGCCTATTGTTGATAGAAATAATTCTTTCAAACAATGAAATTTTCTAATAATCTATCAAATTGCCATCGAATTCCTGTCAAGATTCAGAAGATAGAAGCCAATAAAAGAATACTGCTACGTCCCAAAAATTCAGTAGCACGAAAATGTATCATTAATAATTTAGTAATAGAATTATCATTAGTAGCGTCATGTCATAAAATGCAAAACTTTATCAAGTCGCAGTAACTTGAATCGATATGCTGCACCTGCTTTAAAATTAATTGAAGGACAAAATCCAACAAAATTAAAAGACTAAAATATCCATAATGATGCCATATAAATACATAAATATCTTTTGGTATAGCTTCGACTTTGGCAACAGTAGGTAATTTGTCAGGTTTCAGCAGAGTAGTTTTTTTTTTCACCAAAAATGATCATTTCTCTGTATTTAATTGGTCTTTGTACATGTGCATTTTATCTACATTTTGTTTATCACAACTGGAAATATCTGAAGTTTTCTTGGCAAGAAAAAAACGGTTTTTGGTATCCTATATTGCCTTTGGTTGGTACCACGTATGTCAGTTTATTTTCTGGGTCATGTAAGTATCTAATAGTGTATTGGGTATTACAGGGAATTTTTGACGTGAAGTTCTTGAAGTTGTAAAAAAATTAGTTTCTATTAAATTTTTTGTATAAATAATAATATTTATTTATAACGAAAATAGAAATAAATGGCAATTTAGGATTCTCTCATGAAAATCTTACACGAAAGTGACTCATCTGTTTGTTTGGAAAAACTTTATAGGTAGATAATCTCTATTTCCAGCAAAGATTCTCCGAACCCTTTATAGGTATTTCCTAATTACTTTTCTTCTCTTTACACCCAATTTAGGTAATGACGATAAATAATTTTATTTACTAACCCAAGTCTCAAGTAAATTTTGTATCCTCATCGTTATTTTGCTATTTATTTTTACATAAACACTATAATAACTAATTAGGTACCTATCTAATAGTTATTTTTATCACATCATCATTATAGGCGACCACTCGATACCGAGTATTATAGTATGGTTATCTTTTATTTTATTCTTATTGTCATCAATTGTACGTTTTATGATGGCTATATAAACCAGTTCTGGAGTAGCTCCATTAACTTGGCCCGGACAACCCGGCATTTTCTAAAAAAAAATTGGAATTAGCTAATGCTCGCAAAGTGCTGTAAGATGCTGCTAAAAATATTTCATGATATTTTTTTATCAAGACGTTATCCTCAATTATTTCTTCCGGGCCATGTGGATGATAGCCCGGAAAAGTCAGCATTTTTTAATCAAAAATTGAGGTTCTCTAGTGCTCGTCAAGTGCTGCAAGATGCTGCAACATTTTTTCGAAAATGTTTGATATTTAACACGTAATCCCTAATTATTTCTTCCGGGTCATTTTGATGACAGCCCGGACAAGTCAGCATTTTTTAATTAAAAATTGAGGTCCTCTAGTGCTCGGCAAGTGCTGCAAGATGCTGCAAGTTTCTTTTGAAAATTTCTGATATTTAACACGTAATTCCGGGCCATGTTGATGACAGCCCGGATGGGTCAGCATTTTTAATTCAAAAATTAAGGTCTTCTAGTGTTTGTCAAGTACTGCAAGATGCTGCAAAAGGTTTTCGAATTTTTTTAATACTTAACACGTAATTGCCAATAATTTTTTTCCGGCCATGTTAATTATAGCCGGGACGCATCTTGGACCGGTCAGCAGTTTTTGATCAAAAATTAAAACAGCCCAACCTAATTCTTGCCAAGTGCTATAAGATAATTGTTTAAAACATATACGTTATACATGTACACGTCAATACGTTATCGTTAATTATCGGGAGTAGTACAGCAACAGGGATTCAAGCACAAATCATTCTTGACACGTGGTGGATGCGCCATCGTTGACACGAAGGTGGTCGGCGCCATCTTGTCAAACGTCATGGCGCCATCTGTCGTGAGTGTGGTGAATTCTTGCAATTGATCGACAGGAATGGTGCAAAATTACAGGTTCCTGTAATATGGAGTTTGCGTGGAAGGGATTGTTTTGAGTCGTTTCGAAATCGCTACGTATCGTTAATTATGTTTCGGGTTCTGTGATGACGTCATAGCGACCTGGGTCACGTGGGTTACATCAGTGCGGGTCCGTGGCGCTATCTAGAGTACATAGTGCAAAGTCCGACTTATGGATCGAGTTCTGTGATGACGTCATAACGACCTGGGTCACGTCTGTGGCGCCATTTAGAGTACATAGTGCAAAGTTCGATTCATGGTTCGGGTTCTGTGATGACGTCATAGCGACCTGGCTCACGTCCGTGGCGCCATTTAGAGTACATAGTGCAAAGTTCGATTCAGAGTTCGGGTTCTGTGATGACGTCATAGCGACCTGGGTCACGTCCATTTTTGCATCAAACGCCTCTCATTGCGTAAATGGAGTACAAGCGTCATATAATTTTTTACTTATATGTTCACGTCAGTTTGTGTGTCGGTGGCGCCATCTAGCGTACGTAGTGCGACGTTTCCTAATACAGGATGCCGTAGTGGCAAATAAAGAAAATTCGTGAAACTCAAGGTTGCAGACCATCGAGTCGACGTTTAATGTCAGAGCGTTATAAACAAAGGTATCATTTCACAGTTTATTTTACTGATAAGCATTTCCGTTCTAGCGAAAATAACAAGCTGGGACTTGCATCTAATATTTTGTTGATGAAAAAAAGGATATTTTCACTGCAGATTAACTATGGGAAATTTAATGAATTAAATGAGTCACACTGGTTTTTTTCAAATTAAAACCTATTTATTTATTAAACCAGAGGGTACATTGACTTTTTCCAATATGGTACGTTAAATTCAATAATAATTTTACGCAGCAAATGGCAATAAATATGACTACATTTAAAGTGGATTTCGGTGCGATGTCGTCGTCTGATAAAGTCCTATGAGAATTATTGTATGTTTCTTCTTGCTGTTGTGGTTCTCTGATGAGAGTTCTCCATTCGGTATCTCCAACAGTTTCATTATCATTATGAAAATGCAGCCTCACCTTGTAACGCAGGTACGCCAATGACGTCGACGATACTTCATAATGCATTTCTGTCCAAAATGTTGTGTTATTAGGTGCGGAAAAATCCAGCATTATTGACATTTTGTTGACATTGTACGGTCTGTGTACATAGAATAACTATTTTGCACAAGGGCAACCAAGAGAACATAGTACGATTGACTTGACACCATCATGGTTAGTAATTGAATGAATTTAAGATTCATTCCACATCCTTAATAAATTGACGCAATGGTGAATCTAATGCAAACGATTTTTTTACCAAGAAAACTTTTATTTTAATAGAAATATCATACAAATTAGTCAACTTCATCGTAACCTATATATTTTGCAATAATATCTTCACACATGTATTTAGCGCCATACTGTTTTAATTGCTAATGTAGTCCATACTGATTCATAAGCACACATAGGTCCTCCAAGGAGATGGAATTAGCCAGATAAAGATTACAAGACTTGACACCATTTTCATATTTTTCCACATCTTGCGCGGAAAACCAGCCATTAGTGTCTGGTTCTTGCTCAAGTGCTCCAAGCAAAAACTACATGTCTGTTTCTAAACTAGTACGTAGCAAATAGACAGCTTGTCTTATACAGGAAGATTGATGATGGCAGCAGGCGTCACCAACAGTAATACTACAACCGGACATTGTGACTCTTCAAAGGTTGCTATTGTAGTGTGCAAAATAAAAAGCAATCCTGTTTATATAGTCATTTATTAATACTAATACTAATTGGATTGGTAGGTGTTACAACACGCGTCCAGCTTATCTAAATCCCTGACAATTTTGCCTAGGTTCATAGTAGCAAGTTCTTGAAAGTAGCAGCTACGTTCACATTTGTTCAAGTTACACATGCTGATAATTGATTGCAAAAGATTGCTGCCGTTTTTGACATTCAAATATCGTAGGCAATCATCATAGTATACAATGAAATTTAAATCCTTGACTAATTCTAACTAGAGGACCTCGATTTTTGATTAAAAAATGCTGACTTGTCCGGGCTGTCATCAACTTAGCCCGGAAGAAATAATTAGGGATTACGTGTTGAATATAAAACATTTTCAGAAAAAAATTGCAGCATCTTGACGAGTACTAGAGGAACTCAATTTTTGATTGAAAAATGCTGACTTGTCCGGGCTGTCATCAACTTGGCCCGGAAGAAATAATTGGGAATAACGTGTTAATAATTATTAAACATTATAATTTTTTTTAACAGCATCTTGTAGCACTGGGCGAGCATTACCCAATCCCAATTTTTTATTAGAAAATGCCGGGTTGTCCGGGCCAAGTTGATGGAGCTTTCTGGAGCCTTCTTGGACCTTGATTTCGTTGATAGTGCTTCATTCTACTTATACACTGATCGACTCTCATTTACTGTTCTTCTTCAGATTTGGTGATCGACGACTTTGACTCACTGACCGACTTGTTCACTTGACTCTTGACTGCCTGACTTGACTGTTTTCTATAACAATTCAGCTCCTTCTACCCCCTATTCCGTTTGTGTTATTATGCGTTATTAGTATTAGTCTTGGCGAGTAGTCTTAAGTCTTGATTTATTTCTTTTGTTCTCTTTTGCAGTGGATTTCTGCGTCACTACATTAATCCATTTGGTACATTTTTTGAATGTTCAAACGATTTTGTTTCAGTAAACGTGATATCATTGTTGCAATGGATCGACAAAACCAAAGGCTTTCCGTTCAATTTGTGGTACGTCGACAAGTACATGTACATAACCAGAGACGCCAAGGAAGTGAAAACCATCGTGAACCATCCGAAATGCTTCAATAAGGCACTAATCTACGATAAGTTTAAGTTTATTTTCGAACATTCCATTTTTTTAGTGTCTGGTAAGGTAAATTTATGTAATGTGTGTTAAAATCTCAAGAATAGCTTTATTCCAGATGAAACATGGAAAAAACAACGTAAACATTTTGTAACGGGCTTCAAATCAAACATTTTGAAGAACAACGTTTATGTTTACTATAATCACAGTTGCCAGATGATTGAAGATCTGAAATCTGTTGAAATGCCTGAAGATATTTTTCGATATTTTGATAGATACGCCATTCAAAGCTTTTTTTGTAAGTAAATATATTCGCTACAATTTGGGTTACAAAAACCTTCAAATTGTTCCTAAATTGTAACAATTTTGTGGTTCTAGTGGGATATACAGGCATAAGCGAATACCTATCTTTATTTGAAATGGAAAAAGTAGGCGATATCATATTGGAGTAAATAGCTTATTACTTTGTTTAACGATTTACTTTTTATTGAAATTTATCAGCATTCAAAATCTTCTTAAGTCGTTGGTCGTAATGCCATTTCTCAGTCCCAAAGTGTGGCTGGCGAATTTTCCTGCAGGTAGAAAGGCCACAAAATTGCTGAAAGAATCTAAGGAGATAATGAAATATATAATCGCACAAAAGGAAAAGGTGCTTAAAGAAAATCAGGGTAAGCTACTTAAATTAACTGGTATAAATGCGTTGAAATTATTTTTTTTTTTTCACAATTGTTGAGAGGGGCGTTTAAATAAAATGTCATTTACAGACCTTCACAAATTTCTGTTCAATTCCAAATTTAGACCACTTTTCAGTAAAATGAAGTTATCAGTGGCGGCTCGTCAGAGGAGGCAGGGGAGGCTAAATTTCCCCCAAAAAATTGAAAATTCAATCTCAATTTTTTATTCCTGATTTCTAATTAAAATAATAATTAACAAATTACACTTTCCAATTTTCGATATTTCAATGTAATTTAGAAAAATCTGACAACATTATTTCAATCAATCCCGCGCCTCCACGACAAATATCTGTGAATCTGGGATACTCAGTAATAACGGCCCGAAGGGCCGGAGTTATATGCGAGCCCGAAGGGCCGGAGTTATATGCGAGCCCGAAGGGCCGGAGTTATATGCGAGCCCGAAGGGCCGGAGTAATACGAGCCCGAAGGGCTAGAGTTATACGCGAGCCCGAAGGGCCGGAGTTATACGAGAGCCCGAAGGGCTAGAGTTATTTTAATCACGGGGCCTAGTTTATAATTCTATTGGTCAGCGGATAATTTAGAGCTAATTAAAAACCGGGTAAATACTCCCGATTTTTAGCGTCCGATCAAAGAATCGGGAATATTCAAAGACTTTAGTTTTATCAAATTGGCTTTGCAATGTTGGTTTTCTTAAGATTATTACTTTTTTCAGAAAACGGTGGTTTTTGCAAACATATACTACTTTATCATTGTCTTTGTCTTACTCACTATAATCAATAAGGAAACCTTGTAATGTCATTTTCATTAAAATTAAACCAAAAACAAGTTTCCTATGATTTATTTGGGGAATTTTAATTATTATAATCATTATTAATTAATTATTAAATTGAATTTTAAACAAAAAATCCTTTTAAAATGTTATTTTTGTTTTCCGAAATGAAATGTGGCAACGTTGCTTTTAGTTGGCCATTTTGAAGTGACGCCTTGTAATTTTTTGCCAGTTTTTCCTCGAATTTTTCACTTTTCCGGAGCTTTTCAATGGAAAAATGCAATTTAACATACGAGGCATTGAGTTTTCTTCATTTTCTAGCAAAAATGTCCAGTTTTAAAATTACATAAATAACAAAATCCCATTTAAAATTTTTTTTTTGGAAGTTTTGATGTGGCAACACCGTTTGCACCAACTTCAAATAGGTTTTGTAATAAATGTCATTTGCCAGTTTTGACAGTCGGCAATTTTTAATTGACGTATTCACATTTCTATCCAGTTTTTCCTCGAATTTTCCACTTTTCCAAGCCGTTTTCAGTCAAGAAAACCGATTTGAAATACGAGGCTTTGAATTTCCTACATTTTGTGCTAAAAATTCCCAGTTTTCCAATGGGGTAAGTGTCAAAAACTCAAATTTCATTAAGTAGGCTTTAAAATGTAATTTTTAGAGGTTTTTCTTTGAATTTGTCCGCTTTTCCAGAGCTTTTCTGGTCGGAAAAACCGATTTAAAGTACGAGACTTTGAGTTTTTTTCATTTTCCACCAAAAATTTCCAGTGTTTTAACGGGGTAAGTGAGAAAAACTTTAGTTTTTCAAGTAGGTTTTGGAATGTCATTTTCGTTGTTTTTTTTTTTGGAATTTTTATTTAAGGTTTTTGGGGTCCGGGGATCGTTTTCTATCACTTTTTTTCTCGAAATTCGCAAAATAAAAAAAATACTTTTTTGAAGTTGACAGCTGTCAATTTTTTTTGTCACAAATCGATAGTTAGCGTCGCGAAACTGCCTTGTACCGGGGTTTGATTTTCGTAGCTTTTATATAGTAGAGCGGAGAAAACTACGAAAATGTCGAACATGTGTCAAATTTGACAGATGACATTTGTTGATATTGCCAAAGTGTCGTGCGACAAAAGTTTTATCCGAACGAACCCGTTCATTGTTAACTGATTTTTCATACTCCGGCCCTTTGGGCCGTAATCTTTGAAACAAAAAGACGTCATTTTGTATCGATTGTCAAAAAAACTCAAGGTTTGAAATTTCAATTTTTTGACGTTTGTTGTATCATGAGGAGTGTTGCCATATGTTTTTCTTTCAAATCTCGAGCTCGAAGGGCCGAAATTATAAATTATTTTAAAGCCAATCAAGAGCCGGGATCCGGAATAAACAAAATTCGAATCTCCAAACTAATCAGGAGCCGGGAAAATTCAAAAATTCGAATTCCAAACCCGAAGGGAAATTGAATTTTTTGTACCAACTGTTGCTACATAAATCTCACCCTAAAACCCACTAAAAAACGATCTTTGTTTTTTGGAAAAAACAAAAGAATTTTTTTTGAGATTGACAGCTGTCAAAATTTTAATGGGCATATAGATTTAGCCTCGGCGAATACGTAAAAAGTAGCAAAACAGGGCCAATTTTTTGACGTTTGTTGTATTATAAGCAGTGTTGCCATATGTTTTTTTTTTCGAATCTCGATTCTGGAAGGCTCAAGTTATCTCAATTATGAGCTCAAAGGGCCGAGGTTATACGAGTCCGTAGGGTTGGAAACATGCGAACCCGAAGGACCGGAGTTATACGAACCCGATAGGCCGGAGTTATTTTAATCATGAGCCCGAAGGTCCGAGGTTATACGAGCCCGAAGGGCCGGAATTATACGAACCTGTTCATTGTCAATTGATTTTAATACTTCAGCTCTTCGGATCGTAATCTTTGAAACAAAAAGACGCCATTTTATATCGACTGTCAAAAAAAACCAAGGCCTACTTTGATATTTCAATTTTTTGACGTTTGTTGTATCATGAGCAGCGTTGCCATATGTTTTTATCAAATCTCGATTTATAGGTTATTTTAAACCCAATCATTGACATTTCTGAAAAATATTTCCTTTAAAATTCCCAACCCAACCAGCAATTTTAGTCGCCGCTACGTATCCTCGACTACAAAAAGAACTTTAGAGTTGGTGTTACTAGTATCGGGAACCGTTTAGGCACCGTTTCTTCACCACGTTGTTACCAAAATGGGAAATGATTTTGCAGTAACGTTTACGTGCCTGCATCGTCCTCGGAACTGTAAATTTACGTCCCGAGACCGTTTCGGGAATGTGGCGAAACCGTAAATGTGTGGTAATACCAACCAAAATGGGACGTTTTCCCATACGCCTTCAACCTTGAAGATATTTATTTGATCTTTCTCTCTCTTTCAACTAAAATTATGTATATTATGTTACCGTTCATCCAGCTAGTACTTTAACTTACAATATGTCCACCTATATTTTGTTTACTTGATCATTATTACATACCTATATGAATATTGAAAGGCTTTGATTTTCGTACCCAAGCAGCTAAAACTCAAACGTGTGAAATTTTTCTGTGAAAATTAAGTATGCTAGATCTGAAAATAACAACGCGCCTTCAAACTAAAGCATTTTGATGATAAAAAAATTTAAAATAGAAGAAATACTATAATACAAAATTATTTATTCGAAGTAGTTAGCACTTTTAATAGGTCCATTTTAATTAGAAATCATAAAAGTCCAAAGTTTTTACTAGTAAACAGATAATATAAGGCGTGAATTTTCTACTTTTACACAAAATTAAGTTTTTCCAAAAAATGGCGTCTTAAATTTTCGATAAAACATGGCGTATATTATTCAATGCTACGTTGAAGTTACCTCTAGATTCGTTAAAGTAGAATTTACCTATGCATAAGTGGCGCTCACGAATCGGCTACTTTACGATATTACTTGGAAGTGGCGAACTCTAAAGTGTTTTCTATTATCTCTCTGCGGTTGTGGTTACCTTCAAAAACACTTTGTAGTCACGCCTACTCAAAAGTTAAATTTTTCACGTTACGGTGACAATTATTTGTTACTTTAAAGTTCTGGTATCGAATAAGTAGCTAAACCTTGATGCCCCATGGTTCCAGCAACCCTGAAACTTACCACAATGTAATGACACCATATAATCACCAAATTGGGTAAGTGTTACGGAAATTCCACTAATTCTTCTGACTTACTAGAGGTTTAAACTTCATAGTAGGTTATTTGGTACCAATTACTATTTTTTACCCAATCATAGTAGCAGGGTCGATCAGTGAGGGTTTCTATAACTTTGATGCTAGTTGGGAAATATCCTTTGGAATCCCCAAAAATCTATTAAAATATCAGAATTCCATAATTTAGTGGAATTTCGGTAGAATAATTATGTTATTCTGAAAAAGGAATTAGATGTGAAATTTTTGCGGAGTTTCCATAGAATTCACATTGAATTTTAATTCTCTCGAATTACTTGAAATTTCAGTGAAATTCCGATCGAATTACACAAAATCCTAAATGAAATACATGGAGGAATTTTAAACAATTACATGAAATTACACCGAAATTCCCAACATGAAATTTCAGTTTTTACTGAATTTTAGTAATGCCGAGGAATTTCCAGCTAAAAACTTGGAATTTCGGTGAAATTCCGAAAATTTCCCACGTAATAACATGAAACTTCAATAATATTCTCAGAAATTCCTGGCTATTAAAAGAGAATTTCAGTGAACTTCCGAAAAATTCTTATGAAAATAAATTAAATTTTGAAAATTCCTTGAAGTTTCATTGGACTTTCGATAAATTTTCGGTTATGAACGTGGATATTCTCATAAAATTTTAGTGAATTACGAGAAATTTTTAAGAAATTACATGAAATGTCAATGAAATTCCAAAGAATTTTATGAAAATTTTGTGGAATTTCAGGATATTTCAGTGGTAAAATTTTGAGGAATTTTAGTAAAGTTAAAAAAAAAATATGGAATTTTGAAATTGAAATCTTAATGGAATTCCGAGGAATTTCATGAAATCCTATACTGTAATTAGCCTCCTCACTTGAAATAGTCACGAGCCGCCACTGGAAGTTATGTTCATAACAATAATAGATTGGAGTAGAAGTCGAAACATTTTTGGTTGTAAAATACGCATTCTAAATACTAAAATTATAACCATTTTGTTGACAACAATATGCAAATTTTGGTCACGGATTTAAATGAAAAAAGGATAAACATAGAGTAGCGCACCAACAATAAAAGTCCAAAATTTCGGATAGTAGAATGCTGGAAAAAATGAATAGAATTTTCGAAAATAATAATTTTTGTTTCACAAAATTAATCAAAATCTGCCAAACAACGAAGTGATTGCTGTTCATTTTCAGACTCAAACCAAACGTGTCTTCAGCGCTTCTTTAAAAGATGTCGCTGAGTTCGGGAAGGATAGTCACTTCTTTTAAACGCCAGTAAAAACTGTTTCACCTAGCTTAAAATGTGAAATACTATTATTTCATTTGTATCTGAATAAAATTATTTAGACCAATGTAAATTACTGTGTAAACAAATTGATATTGAAGATGTCGCCATCTACTTGTGAACTAGTCAATCACTTACAGAGAATTTGAACACCTGTGATTAAAAAATATTTAATGTATGTCATAAAGCCCAAAAGATGGCGCGCTGGCTCTTATCTGACGCCCCTCTTAACAAGCATACTTCTGTCATGTAGGTATATTTTGAACAACCCTAAAACTCAGTTTTTTTGTTTTAAGAATATTGTGAAAATGACAAGGATCTTTTGGAACTATGTTTAACTTGCGATACAGACGATTCGGATGATGATAAGATCATCCAACAATTGGATTTTATTGCTTCAGCTGTAAGTTTTTTTTCACCAGCGATGAAATAAATATCTGGGTATGGTACCTACTTGTTGTATAGAACTTGTAGGTAATGTTGTTAAAAAGTTATTAGTTTCATAGTCATGGTTGTATGAAAAGTCCTGATTTCAAAATTCACAAAAAATTTACAATTTCAGGTCAGCGATACCACAGGGAATGCGTTCGCTTTTATTTTTGTATTATTGGGCATGCATCAAGAAATACAGGTCAGTAGTATATTTTACTCGTACCTCAATCTAGTTATAGGTACCTACTTATGTTTAAATTATTTTTAGGAAAAAGTATATGAGGAAGTAATGGAAGTAGTGGGCGATAAAGATATAGCGCATCAAGATTTGCCGAATTTGAAATACACCGAAGCCGCAGTTTGCGAAACTTTGAGATTATTTCCAATAGTTCCACTTATAGGAAGAGCTTGTGGAGAAGACATTGATTTAGGCAAGCTTGTTCTATTTCAATGGATTTTTATAAATATGAGTGAATGACCGTTTAAGTGGGATTGTGAGATATTAGGGAATTGACAAGAAAGTACAGATGTCTGTCTCCAAAATTATACCTACACCTCCCCTTCTAAAATGTTGTACAGGGAAAGCGGATTTCTTGACATTAGGCAACTGCATTGTTTTAAATTAGGCATAAAATTGTACCAAGACAAAAATATTTCTCCCCTTGATCACAAATATGAAACACGATTAACGGGCCCTCAAAATGTTTCATCTCAAGAGCATCAAAAACAGTTGGACAAAGAAATTTTAACTACCTAATGCCACGGTTGAATAATATGTTGCCATCTGAGATCTTCAACAATAACAAATTACATATTTTCAAAAAAGAACTTATGGTTAAGCATTACACTAAGAACAAATATACGCAACTTTATTTCATGAAAAAAAATTATTGAATAAATAAATAAATAATTAAAAAATAAAAAAGAAAAATTAATGAAAAATAAATAAACAAAAAAAAAGAAAATAAACTGGATGCGACACAAATTCAACCACAATTATGACAACTTACCTGATTACGACTTAAAACCTCTACTAATACCACGACAAAATTATACGTATATTCTCACAAACAAGTAGAAAATTACTAAAAAAAATTAATATAAGAATATGGACCTATACTTACTATAATAATAATAATAATAATCTAGTATCATATATCCCATCGCCTCAGATTTTATTAGTCTATGTTTCCAGGTGCAAAAATAATTCCAAAAGGCTCCTCATGCCTAGTCAGCATCTTACATTTACAAAGAGACCCGCAATACTGGCCAGATCCATTGAAATTTGATCCTTCCAGATTTTTGCCAGAAAACCAATCGAAAATAAATCCGTCTTCTTTTATGGCATTTTCAGCTGGACCTAGAGATTGTTTAGGTAAATCTGTTACATTATTTAGAGAAACTTGACAACGTCGTCGCATTTCTAGGTAAAGCACAGGCATTGGCAATGATGAAAGTGACTGTGGCCAACGTTGTCAGATATTTCAAAATAACGTCAAAACATAAGACCATTGAAGAATTGACTTTGGAATCTTGCTTGACCATGAAAACAAAAGAAAGTCCTGATTGCCGTTTTTCTGCTAGGAAAGAATTATAGAATATTTATTATTATTATTATTTCTAAACACATGTTATAAATAAATAGATATTTCATTCCAAATGCTTTCATTTTTTATTAATTGTTAAGTTGGGAGTATTTGGGTTCACAATCACACTCGGTATTATTCAAAACTTATAATAGTCCCTGCGGTTCACGAAAAAACGTAGCAAATTGGGTTAAAAGCATGAAACTTGGCACAGTTGTCTTTTAGACTATTTCAAGAGATTTAACCCGCAGCACCTAAAATTTCACCCCAGGAGGGTGGTTTAACCCCTATTTCATTTTTAATGGGTTAAAATTATTAAAAATGTCTATGTCATCATATTATTTCAATATTGGTGTCATTTTAGACTAATTCGAATGTGAGGAATTTAAAAAAAAAATCTCTTCTTCATAGGACACAACGGTAGGGCTCTATTGATGTCATATTTGAGATAAGTGTCAAAAATATCGTTTTTTTACATTTAAACCTATCTGAAAAAAATCTATGGCGATTATATAGAATTTGGCATGAGAAACCCGCAGCACCTCAAATTTTATTCCTCAAGAGCAGTGATGTGCCTGTAGACAATGTCAACGTAAACAATTGATTGTCTACGCGTAGACAATTCGAATTAAGTGAGCATTTGTCTACACATTGTCTACATGCGGCGTAAACAAAAACTTATTTTATGTCCGATTGACCAATAAAGTGCTATTTATAGAACAGTTTTGCGTCAATAAAGTAGCACTTTATTGTACTAGTAAAATAAAGTGCTACTTTATTTTACTAGTAAAATAAAGTGCTACTTTATTGCCTACCTAGACTACCTTACAAGGTAAAACAGGTCCTGACAACCTGCCAAGGTGAAACAGGTATACCTACGCGAATTTTACTTTTTTCATTAAATTTTTTTAATTTTTAACAAAAACCAGTCGCAATCGTACATAAAATCATGTATATAACGCTTACATAAACAGGCTTTATTGACTCATTATTTAATAGCCTCGCTCGCAAGCTCGCTCGGCCATAAAATTATTCGTACAATAAAGCCTTACTTTATGTACTTGTTATATAAATAGCTATTAAAAAATATCAGGAAACCCAATAATAAAATAAAAATAATTTAACAAAAGGAAAGTGTGAGGTTAGAATTAAACGTCATTTATACTATTTTACATTGTTGACACGTTGTCTACATTGTCTACATTATCTACACGTAAAGTAGACAATGAAAGTCTACGTGTAGACGCACATCCCTGCTCAGGAGTGTTATTCAACCCCTATAGAAGATTTCATTATGAATAACTTTGGCAGAAAGTCGACAAACAAAGTCACATAACCTATAAATAGCATTGTCAATGTTATTAATTTTTTTTCAATTTTGGGCTTAAATTTAATAATAGACCTATTTCGCAGGATTAGAAAAAGAGAGCTTAATTATAATAAATACAAGTTAGAAAATAATGAAAGATGACATGCGCACGCAACTCGTAGGCTGCAGTGTAGTCAGATTGTATTGTTGCAGAACAAATGTAGACAATACAAATCGAACATTATAACATTAAAGAAGTAATATAGTGTCAAGTGTTTTACAACGCCTTAAATCAGACAACAGAAGAGCTTGAAAAGTGTATGTTAACATCGTTTGCACTTTTATTTTGATAAATGTTTCATCCGGCAACATCGCTCAATGAAATTGCAAAGGAATATGTCAAGTATAATCTAACATAACTTTAAACAATACTGCGATGAGTTCAAGTAATATGTAAAGTATTAGTTTGCTCTTTGTCGAATTACACGTTACAAAGAAAGAAAGGACGATTAATTCTGAAATAGCTCCTGAATAAGAATATGACGCAAGCCTGTCACAAACTTGCTTCTCATTGGACGCTCACCTGCAGCCTACAAGCGACGTGCGCAGTTCAGGTAATAGGAGATCGGTCTATTATGGCAGTTTTGGGAGAACGTGATATGTTATGTTATCGAGAGGTGATGAAGGTCAATGCTGTGTTACCTTAAACTCCAGTGGAGGCAAATGGGGTCGTTAATTTAGTGGAACTCGTTCGACTATCACTTTTATAATCACCATCAAACACGCATCGCTTCTTCGCCTCTCGATAAAACATATCACGTTTTCCCAAAACTGCCATAATTATTAAATTTAAGCCCAAAATTGAAAAAAAATTAATAACATTGGGCGTGTTTGGGTTGACGCTCGGCGGAGCGAGCAGAGCGATGACGGAGCAATGTGACGTCATAGGGAGTACACCGTGTCAAGCCAAATAAGCTTGTGCAAAAGTGCTGGGTTGAGCGATCAGCTGATTATTTTTTTTTTTTTTTAGGATATATTTTTTGGAGTCTGAGCCCGCATTCCGCATTTGCACCAGAGTTTTCTCGTTTGTTTTTTTTTTTAGTCGATAATTTTCAAACATCTCCATTTTCTTTTTTGTTCTGCTTGAAATGTCGTGCTACATAAACAATAAAACGGACTTAAACACTCTGAGGCTGCCAAGTTCCCTTGGAAAAATATGTTCAATAATACCAGTGATGAGGACTACCGAGAAAATTTAATTAAAAGTAAACAATTATGCAGAATTTACAAGCTATTTGATTATTAACATTTAAACAAAATAGCTGAAACTATCCAGCTAACAAAAACATGTTAAATTCAGGATTGTTTATTTATCTTATCATGGAAAATAGGTTAGGTTATACAGACAGATTAAACTGCGCATGCACGCTCCAACTGCCCACTCCACAAACTCGGAGTTTATCGAGCTCGCTCTGAGCGCTCAAAATATATCAAGCGTTGTCGGAACTTCAAAAATAACGGAAGAGAGACAAAAGTGCAAGCTCTGAGTGCACCGAGCGTGAACCCAAACGCGCCCATTGGCGATGCTATTTATAGGTTATGTGACTTTGTTTGTCGACTTTCTGCCAAAGTCATTCATAATGAAATTTTCTATTCAATTTCAAAAGGGATGAAAATGTCTATCATATTATTTAAATATTAGTGTCATTTTTAGACTAATTCGAATATAAGGACTTTGAAATTGTATTTTTTATTTCGCATGCATCATAATCAACGATTATCGCACGCTGCAGCGTGCATAAAATGATGTTTATGATGCGTCTACCTTTTCAAAGGTTTGCTATAGAAACGTTTGATCTACCTTCATTACCTAGATATTTACCTGCATACCTGCCATTTAAATTACTACTTATCAAAATGAATGAAAACTTTAAAAACATTTTTGAGATTATGATGCATTCGTAATAAAAAATAGCGTATGATATGCGTGTATGAGAGGGCATTTAAAGCCCTTGCGACTTACAAAACACTCCGCTGCGCGTCGTGTTTTGAAATATGTCGCGCGTGCTTTAAATGCCCTCTTATACACTTATATCATAATATACTATTACATTATTAGCCAGGTAAAACAGTTTTTACTGGTGATTGAAGGAAATGACTAGCGAGCCGTCAGGCGAGCTTGTCACCTTCAAGAGCCAGTAAAAACTGATACCTAGCGTATGATGTACAATAATTTATTTTTCTATTTTGGTGTCATATCAAAGTCTTTTCGACCTAAAAGTAGTTTCGGAAAGAAGCTCTTTGTGACACTCCTTTTTTAGTTCTCGGAGGTTGGTAACACTGGCTGACTGATGGCCATCGAACTGTCATTTGCGATTTTATAATAGAAGATTTCTATATTTGGCATGTAGTGTTACCAACCTAAATATATGAAATCAGGAAATATGAGAATAAAATTTTCAAGAAAAATTTGTTTTTTTTTAAATAAACAATACCAAAATAGAAAAAATAGTATAAAATATTCGTTTCATAAGACATTATAATCGCACTCGCCCTTTAGAAAACTCGCCTCCGGCTCGTTTTCTAATATAGGGCTCGTACGATAAAATGACGTCTTATGAAACTTGTATTTTACTGTACTATTGTTACTCATTTGTAAACAATAAATAAAAAATTAATACATTAGGTAATACAATTTTAATAAATAATTCCACTAACCCTACTGACTTGTAAAAAGTTTTTACCTACGAGCGTGCGGTAAAGTGCACTTTACCGCATAGTGTGCGGTAAAGTCAACTTTACAGCATAGTATGCGGTAAAGTAGAATACAAAGTGTGCGGTAAAGTGCACTTTACCGCATAGTGTGCGGTAAAGTAGAATTTGATATTTATAATCAAAAATCCCCTGTTTTTCAGAAAATGGATTTTTGATCATTTCTAAATATTATCTGATTTCATTAATTAATCTGATTCATTAATTAATTTTATCAATGCCTTTTTTTGGAGATGTGTATGCTCATAGGTAAAATTTTTTACCTAACACATGCGAAAAGTGCCTTTACCGCCCTTAACGCCCTTAACTGCCGTTGCGTGCGGTAAAGTATCACTTTCCGCATTTGTTAGGTAAATAACTATTACAGTTTAGCTGTCAATTTTACAAGGCAGTAGAGCCAGTAACTGGTAAAAATCAATTTTCGTTGTTTATGTTTTGACTTGATAAATGACGTTTTATAAATGAGTGACAAATAATAGTATATTACATACCGAGTAGGGAAGTGTTTCATTACTGTCGAGAGATTTATATAGTTGACTATTAATCTCGAGACAGAAATGAAAACTTTCCTCCGAGGTTTGTATACTATTTTATTTGCAAACACACCATCAATAATGATTAGTCATTTAATTTTTTTAACATTAAAAAAATAAAACAAACATGCCAAAATTTGTCATTCACTGTTTTGACATTTTTACCTGACAGGTTCTCATTGTTCCCAGCAAAGGTAAATAAATTAGAGTGAGGGAAATCGGTGAGGGAAATCGAATAGGGAAATCGGTGAGGGAAATCGAAGAGGGAAGTGACACAAGTAAAGTGACATTTCCAAATTTTTAAAAAGTCAGTAATGTCAAGATTACATATATGGTTGCAAATAAAAAAAATTACATCTTCATAGTATCCAACGATCGGTAAGGCTCCATTGCTGTCATATTTGACATAAATGTCAACAATATC